TTGTTGCCTTGATCCCTTAAACATGATTTAAGGTTCTATCTAAACTCTTCTCGGGGTTACAGCCACAATATTTACTGTGAGAGGTTGCTTTCTTTCTCCGGTGTTCATTAGCTTTATAGAAAGGAATCCTAAGCAGTGCAAGGGCCAAAGTCGGATTTGGAGACCAGTGGATTGCATCCCAGTAGTTGAAGATGATGTGGCTGCAGTGAAGCAGCCAGGATGAAGCTCAACTCCTCTAAAACCATGGGCTCTCAAACGGAAAAAGGTGGCTTGTCTCTTTCAGCACGGAGGAGAGTTCCTTCCTAAAGCGGGGGAGTTCAAGTATCTGGTTGATCACATCCTAATTGGCTGATTAGGTGAGAATGGAGTGGGGGATTGACAGACTGGTCGGTACAGCTATTGCAGATAATGCACCAGTCTATTGTGTTAAAGAGAAAGCTGATCAAAGGTTAAAGCAAAGCTTTTGATTCACTAGTGGATCTACATTCCTACCCTAGCCTGTGCTCATGAAATCTGGATCATAACCAAAAAATAACTAGATCCTGAATATAAGTGGCTGAAATAAGCTTGCTCTGCAGCGTAGCTGGATGCTCCCTTAGAGATAGGATGAAGAGCTCGGTCATTTGTGAGAGGCTTGGAGTAGAGTTGCTCCTGCTCCCAATTAGGAGGAGTCAGCTGAGGTGGCTCGGACTTCTTTATTAGTTACACTCAGAACACCTCCCTTGAGATTTGTTTTAGGCACAACCCATCAGGAGGAGGCCCAGGGGACAACCAAGGACACGATGGAGGGACTGTGTCTCTCATCTGGCATGGAAGCACCTCAGGCATCGTCCAGCTGTGCTGGAGAAGGTGTCTGGGGAGAGGGAAGTCTGGAAATCTTTGCTGAGACTACTGCCCCTATGGCCTAGTACTAGATTAAAAAGAAGACAACGAGTAGGAGTGTTTTTTATTTTATTTTTTTTAGGTATTATCGGTATGTACTTAAAAAAAATGTTAACAATATTCTGGATCCTAAAAAATAAAGGGTGATACTAAGGAAGAAAACAAGAGGACAACTATAAACATTTAATCCATAAAACACATCTGTTTTTGGTTGTTTGTTCCTTTCTTTTGTCCTCCCCTCCCTTTTACTTAAGGCAATTTTTCTGAGTATTTGGTCCAATATGCAAAGGTTGTTTATTTTTTTATTTTTTTTATTTCTGTTTTTTACAGGCATATGCTCAGTTGTTCTCAAAAGTTTAGACTACTGGGTAGATTTTTTGTGTTGTCAAGAGGGAAATAATGTATAAAAATATTTTTTTTTCTCATACAGTATCACTCACTAACAAATAATTATAGAGACAATCTAAAAAATACCTAATAAACAATGTAAAAGATATGATTGAATGAGAGTTCAGTAACTGTAAAGATCACAGATTCACCCCTCGGTGGTGGAAGTCTTGCTGCAGAACAAATCCCATCTTATCACTAGTTCTCCCTTCTGCTTTGTAGAATTTCTCCAGCTCTTTTACTTAGCGATGACATTTCTACAGCGGAGCCCATATGGATTCTAGTTAGGCTATTCCAAAAATAAGTAAGTTATTCTCTAATTAATTCATTTCTTTAGTTATGTGAGGTTGTTTGGACTCACTGTAGTGATAATGATTTACCTGATTTCAATTTCAGATTTCTAGCCAAGGGTTTTTGGTTAAAACTTATAGACATTTAGAACTGTCATTATTTCACCAACATTATGTTTAACTGATGTCAATCCTTTAGTGATCTACAGACTTTTTTTTATACCATATATACCTAATGGAATCATGTCCCTACAGTTTAATTTTATCAGCGGCTGAGCATCTTCGTCATCAGTGTTAGTTTTGCCTTCCATACATGTCGCGAAAACGTCACACCTCGAACATCAAGTATTTATATTGTCACTGCCATCCTCTGTTCTCCAGTAACTGAAGTTCTGATTACAAAGTAGTATCTATGTTTAAAATGCCTTAGACGTTTTTGTGCTGCCATCCTGACTGATATGTTTCTAAAAAGAATGAGATCATGTAAGAGCCTTATGCAATGTACAATTGCATAATCAATATCCTGCAATAATTGCAATATCCTGCAGGGCATCTGGATTTCATTCCAGATGAACCAGCCTTACTCTGCTTGATTTTAGGAGTGTACTCAAGAAGACAAAATATTGACATTGAATCGAATGTCATATACAGCATAGTGTTTGTCTATCTGTGTTCACACTTAAAAGCTGTCTCTGTCATATTACATGTGACCACAACTTTTGAATTATAAATCATTCTAAAGTTTTTGGATGGGGTAAAGCTTTGAGATCCTCTGCCCAGTTAGCTATAGTAAATATGCAACACCTAATGCTGACTTTTAATGTGGTATAAAATAGTAAAACCTTTAGTGACAGCAGTCCTCTTTAGTCCTTCGCCTGTGTAAAAAGCTTTGGAAGGTTTCCTTAAAGGAACCCGTTTTGTGAATTGTTACATGTTCTGAACGCTGGGTCGGCTTTAACACACCCCTTATTCATACAGGTGCGATCCACACCCTGTTCTGCCCTGCCTGCGAACATGAACCTTTTGTTGTTACAAAGGTGGCAGCTTCATAACAAATAATAGAGACAAAAGAGAGAAGACTGGCTAACGCTCAGCTTCCAGACTGTTCAAACAGAAATGCATAAGATGTTTATATTAAAACAAAAGTAAAAATATTTTTTAAAATCTTGTAATTTACATTTTTTTTTTATCTCGGTACGCGACTATGGTTTACAGGGGTGTGGGATTCTTTGTCAATATTTCTTCGGCAAACTTTAAAATATTAAATGGCTATAATCTTTTGACATAATGTTACTTTCACTAAGGTGGAAATAGAAGAAAAACTCATAAAAAACAATTATGCCGCTTCCAAATACAAGTGCTTGGTATTCCCCGTAACACTCTTTAATGTCCGGACCAAACATGTACACGCAACTCATTGCTCAAACCAACCTACAGATCCCAAACAGAAGCGTTTTTTGGTTTTATATAAAAAAAGACCACCTACTGGGACATTATTTGTGCTCAGAGGAACCACAGAAACTACAAATCTAAGATAGTTCTCATTATGTTAATATCTGTGATGTCTGTATCTTTTGAGATGCTTTTGCTCAAATGTCTTAAATATCAAAATCCTTTGATAGTATATTGCATAAGGGTTCATCTAAAATAATTTGAATTTCAGTGAGAAAAGTTATTTAAGTATCTTGAAATAAATTGAATAATATAAAGATGAGTTATGCAGAAAATGTTTTATTTATTCAAAGTGGGGGTTTTGCCCATTTTAATACCTAAAGAAAACCAAAAAAATCATATTAGAAATTAAGAATACAGCACAAGACTCTACAAGACCCAAAGGAGCACTTCACAGATGTGTAGCAGATAGGTAATATTACATAATATGCTTACAAGGAATGCCTAAAGGTTGTTATATTGAAATGGCACTTTTAATCTTAGAACTGTGCCTCATTGGAATATATAATTATATTCATTTAAAAAAGCTATATTACCAGAGTTAAAGAAGAACAATAGGAAATATTTCCAATGAGGAGATGACCCCAGCCTTAAAAGGATTGTGAGGCAAAGCCTATGTAAATGTTTGGGGGATTCAGAAAGTGTGTCCTGCAGCTTTAGGAAGTGTTTCAATAGCTAAAACCTTAGTTTACCTTGTGTGAATAAACTCCTGGACCAAAGACAGTGTTAATAGTGTCAACTTTACTAACTGGAAACAAAATGCAACTGTTACTCAGAGAAAGAAAGTACTCTCATCAGATGAAAGTAACTTAGTCATTTAATTTAAAAATCAAGTTCACGGAGTTTGAAGGAAACATGTAACAGTCCAAAATCCATACCACCTTCCTACTGCGGATGAAATGAGAAGCCATGTATTCTAGTGGCGTTCTTCCACCTGGGTTTTATCAAGTCAAAACTCAGAGAAACCATCCATAGAGATAATTCAGAGAGCTTCATGCTTTGTTCACTGACAAGCTTTGCAGAGATGCTGGTTTTATATCTTTTCAGGTACTATAGTGGTACCTAAACCATTGATGACTATAGTAGCACTGCGTTTAATTGGTTAGCAAACTGAACTGGCCAAAACTCCACAGATTATTTAGATTCTCTAGAGGAGGATGAGAAACAATAGAGCCAATGATGCAGATGAGCTAAAGGCACCTGAAAGTTGGTTTCTGTAACACCTCAGAACAGCTATTATGGAATGACTCCATGCCACATCACCAGGAGAGTTGGGTCTCATTTTTTTATGAAAGCAAATTATCTCATTAGTTTTCATTATAAATAACTGTTTGAAACACTTAAACTAAAATTTAACAAAACTATAATAAAAATTTGTTTGATCATGAGCCATAACATATTTTTAATTATATAATAATTTGAAATGTACTTCAAATTTGGTATATTGAAGCATGGTTAACTTTTACAGTAGCCAAACAGTATTCTTACAATGCAAAATAACAGTTATGATTTAATTTATTAACTAGACCACATAAGAAATACATTTCATGTGAAAATTACGGACCATTTTACCTGAATGTAACAGGAAAAAACCATTCAACCTTGAAAGAAAAACTACGGTATTTTATGTTTTTGACTTTTAATTGATTTCTTCGGGGCAGCATTTTACTCACTGTTATTTTAGAGTTGCTTTGGATCCAGAATGTTTACCCTTTTACAAAAAATAGAGAAAGGAGCCCCTCTGGATTCTTTACCAGAATCTTGTACCTGTGTTAAATTTATAATTCAGTTAGAACCAATAACAAAAATCTTTCCAAAAAAAACGAACATTTGACAACATAAGAAAACTAAAACAGGCAGTTAAACAACACACAAAATTTAAATTGCAATTTGGTGCTGTGTTGTTAAACAGCAGTTTATGACAACCTTCTTTCACAGTCTACACATTTTATCCATTGTTTAAATTTTACGAAAAAAGATAAAGGTGTCAGCAGGCTTTAAAGACGTAATGTTTTCAATACATATCTACAATCTACTGAACACTGTTAACAGTTTGCTAACATAGATTTGACTGTTGTGCCTGTTAGTGTCATATGAAGAACAGTATCAAAGGATAAACATACTCCTGCACAAGTTCACTCTAACAAAAATGACCACATTCATAGCAGGTGTGAATCAGCAGTGAAAGCTCTCAGGCCTCATACAGCGGAGTGACCGTGCCGTCCTTCCACTCAATCAAGATCTCTCCTCGATGTAAGGCGGGCGAAGAGTGTGGAAAGTGCATGGCATGTTCTGTCAGGGTGGCTCTTTCACTGATTATAGGCGATCCTGGAACACTCGTCTCTGACCTTGGAGTGTATGATTTCAAGACACAAACCACTTTCTTCCTCCTGACACAACATAAAGAAACAAAAGTAAAAAGATAGGAGAAAGAAGTAAGCAAGCTAAGCAAACATAATTTTTTAAACTATGTAAAGGAAAGCTGCATAAAGCTTTCTCTCCCCGATTCTTTCCTGAGAACAGATCACTCGGGACAAACTCTTTCAATAACACTCCATAATGTGTATGTATTAAGTAACCATTAGACATGACAACAGATTTTGATAGAAATTGTAATATTACTCAGATCAGAGTATTGCTTCACAGTTCACATTTTATAAAACTCCGGTATGCCACATCATCACATTATTACATCATACATGTTTGTAAATGAGGACACATCCATGGCATAACAATTACAGAATGTCCCCGATAAAAGCACAGATAACTCACTGTTAAGAAAGGTCTGTCTGTGCCCCCATTTCATTTCCAAATCTTTGTTTTGTACATAATGAATATGATAACTGCATATTCTGACAGAAGAACTGTCTTAGTTAGATAAACTACTAGGGAAAACATTCATTTTGACACGTAACAGGCAGGTATTATTAGGACTCAACAGGCTCACATAGCATCAATAAAAATAATCCTAATGGCTATACCTTCATGCTTTAACTGGCTTTCTTTTTCAACTCAAGACACTACTTTGCAATAAAAATAAAGACATTTTTCAGTCATATACATGGACGTTAAAGCCTTTTTGAGTTTTTACAATCCTTCCTGCAAACTTTGGAACCAAATTACAGCTCCGGAGACTACAGGGCTCTGGGAACTGTCCGTTAGCATTTCATATCTACATCCTTACCGTTATTTGCAAACAAACCATTTATCCCTTTGTATTTAAGCATTGCAAATCAGTTTATTTTTTGTTCGTAGTTAAAAGTTCGTGCAAAACTAAAAATACCCTTTCAACTATTTCGCATTTTTTTCCCACAAAACAGATGCAAAGTACATGGATATTAATGTGTTTTGTTATTTCCATATTATTGCAAAAGAATACATACTATCACAAGCATGGTAGGTACTAGAGTGTATATCAGAACACAATGTTAGGAGTTTCTGGATCTTCCGCTTATCCGAGACCAGGTCGCTGGGTTATGCAAAATCACCTCAAAAAAAAAAAAAAAACAGTTTGCAACCACTGTCTGCTGAATTGCACAAGCAAATCGCTATCAGCTATAACACAGAAACCATATCAGACCCTTCGTGTGACAGAATACAAATCTCCTGAAGACATCCTGCTCCCCATGAATCATGGTAATAGCAGCACGCTACAGTGGGAGTTCTTCTATCTAGCTAGACAGTGGGGTTAGAGTTTATACACAGGCAAAGGGATAAAAACAGAGCAATAAAAAAATAGAGAAGGGGTGCAAAATATCCAAGGACTTTCCTTAGAGCAGGCACACAGCCAGACCTTTATGTAATATGTAAAAAGGCTCAGAGCAAAATAAATCTTGCAGCTATGCAGGATTTACAAAATTTATACTCATAGAAGCTCTTTACTGCATCTGATTAAGATTAAGCTATTCTGCCAAGAAGAATACAAAGATGATAGATACATATCCCAAAACACTCTGAGCTGTAACTGCAGAGAAAAGTGGTTTTATAAAGTACAGATTCAGGGAAGACTGAATATATACTCATTTTTTCAACTTTTTATTTATACACTAAATTAAAGTGTGCCTAATTTTTAACTCATATGTATAGCCTTGTGATGCTATATTACCTAAAATCCCAACATGGTTCATTTAAGGTTGTGGCATTGAGGCCAGGAAATACTGAAAAAGTTTAATAGCTATCAATCATTCCACAAAGCCTTGCAGGTTATGGGATAAATCTTAGATACAGATCATTATAAAATGGGGATTTTTGACATGTAATTAAATTTCAGCCTGATTTCTTTTTCTATGGAAATTACATTGCACCACATTTCCTTTAGCACTGTGGTTCTGATATCTGTTTATGTAAATGGTTTGTTGAAAGATTTGGTTGGATAGTTCTGTTGAAGATCAACAAAGATGGAGAAACTGCTAAAATAGACACTACAGACTTTATATAGACATTTAATGCTAATATATAATAACTGTTTTGATTTTTTTTAAAGACAGGTATTAAGAGCTATTGTGAGGAATTACATGTAACTCTAGAATTAGGCATTCTGTTTTGCTGTTCAAAAGTGAAGACGGTGGGTTTAATAGGGAATTGAGGATATGGTTGTTATCTTCACTTAAAAAATTGATTACATTTTCAGTGTTTGTGTATTGCAATCCTCACCTGTTGGAATACACACTGAGGATGAAAATTGCAGTTCCTAGGACAAGAGCCAAAGAGCTCAACACCAGCATGGTTATCTTCCATCCCATTCCTGCACATACAGTATAGATATGTAAGCTGACCAGTTTAATGTTTTATTTCTTGCGCTATATTTTATATTTTTGTTTAAATAAATCATATCTGAGTCTGTAACTGAGTCTTCACAAGTGCTGTACCACATTCACAGAAACATTTGCTCACCATTATTAAAGAATTACCTCCTCCTAGTGGTTGTGTAAAGCAATTACAGTAAATTAGGAAGTAAATAATTGCAACCTGACTTACAACAGAGTATTAGTAACAAGTTCAACCCTTTTGTGAATTACAGTTTGCTGAATTTACCATAATCCATAGTGTAAAAAACCATGGTGGGATCTGCTGGAGATTTGGTGCCAAAGGGATAAGGGATTATCCCATTCTTTACAGAATAAGCTTCTGTCCCGTTAAAGCCCATTATACCTGGAACTGAACACGAGGGAAAAAAAAGAAGACCCAAGTTATTAAGAAGCCTGTATTGAAAATAAATGATTAAACCCTTTTTTGGGGGATTAATTAGAAAGCAAACATACATTCTTAAAATTTAGTGATTTTCAAATGCTATCAAGTTTTGCTGAGTACATATTGTAGTTCTGCACATTGTTCTTATGGTTGAAAACACAAATTCTGAGCTAAAGCACAAGAGTTAAGAGCGGATCATGTTTCAGTCAATCAGAAAAACCACTGGTGGTCTCATCATAGGGGGATAATGGCTGGATCATTTGTTTTTAGAAGAAATGGTCTACATACATTTCTTTCATTAGCTTTTGCAACTAATTTGCCACATTGAAAAGCATCAGTAAAATAAAAGCTTCTCATGAGCAATACTCTAAAAGGTTTTGGTGGCTGATTTAGATACATTAGCACTTGCAGCAGTCTAGTATTGATTTTGCTTTAAGTTGTGTTTACAGCACTATGAAAACAGGGATTCCTTTAAACATAAAAAAATAGGTGAACCTATTTTATATCCCCACACTAGGGTTGTCAAAAGTATCGATACTCAAAAAAGATACTGAAATGTTGTATCCGGATACAATACTCGTTTTTAAAAGTATCGATACAGTGCTACCACCAGTGGCACCTAAGCAGTCATTCATCTAAAGTGCAGAATAGAGGACAATGCACTTTCAGAACACCGTGTGATTGAATAATTCTGTGCACTTTTCAGTTTCAGACCTTTTTTTTTTTTTAAGAGGTGCAGCTGCTGAGAATTATTTTTGTTTCTTAACCGGTTTGGCTAGCGTTATTGCTATGTGTGCAAAGCATAGCCAAGGAAGGAACACTTAATTTTAATTTTATACGTTTTTTATCAAGCTTGCTTAATATTGTGCACAGCATACAACCTTTATTGTATCTATTTATTGTATTTTATTTATTAATGAAAATATTTCTGTAGAATTTTGGAGTCTTTGTTTTTATCCTTGTGGTATCGAAAATGGTATCGAGTATCGAATATTTTCCTTAGTATCGGTATCGAGTTGAAAAGTTTAGTATCGTGACAACCCTACCCCACACTATTACCAACTACAGGAATAAAGCAAGCTCATTATATTAATTACCTGGGTACATTTTAGTAAACTAAGTTACGGCAACTACAAAAAAGGATTAAAAAGAGGACAGCTGGACATTTGAAGTCTGACCACCTTCCATTTAAGCCTGTTTGGTGGTAGACCAGCAATCTTCATCACACTGTTTTCAATGCAATTCACAAATGAATGTAGCAAACAGATTTAGGAGTAAGAATCTGTTTAGTTCTTACATGGTTTCTCATGCATGGGTCTTTCAGATGACAGGGTTTGAGAAATCTCAGTTTTTTCTTCCTTCAAATGATGAGATTGGTTTTCTTTATGGTCTCTCCTGTTACACAGCGTCTGGTTATCAAGAGCGCGCCACTTGCTGCCCTGCTTTGCAAAACAGAAGGTATCATGAGATAAAATAAAACCAACTAAAACTTAGCCACAAGTATTATAAGAGAGACTGGGACTACCTGCTTATGTTCCCTCGACAGAAAAACTAAAGAGGAATCTTTTGTTGCACTTAAGTGAAGCCTATTCTCTATCAGAGTAATATGGCCTTTCTTTGAGCAGGTCCATGCCTGACCACTCGCCTCTCTTTCTACATCGTCTGCCAAAGCTCCATCTTTGAAAATGCAGGACTGCAGAACAACACCTTCATACTCCTCCCTCGGTGCGGTCAGACATTCTCTGGTGTGTTGGTTGAGGAGAGCTTTGCCCCCTGGTAGCCAGTGCCATTCTTGTACAGTTGAATATGTGTTGCACTCTCCCAGTGTTACTTGACCTTCTTTTTTTCCTTCTGGCACCTGCAGGCATTTACCCAGAAGCTTGTTCCGGATCTTTAATCCAGACGCCCCTAAGAAGGGAACATAAAGCAGCTGTTTTCTGATAAGAAATTCTGTATACAACTAAACAATCTAGTATGAGTTATGCATAGCGGTTGTGGAAGACTTTTACAAAAGAAAGTTCCATTTCAATCTGGCGAATTAAACACCACACAGAACCAATGTGAGGTACATTACAATAGAAAATGACATGAAGATAAAAGCTAAAACTAGACATGAACCAACCAATAAAAATGAGGTTAGTAATCATGAAACAGGGGTAAGAGCAGTATTATAAACTGGAATTAAGACTATGTTATATTAGGATGCAAGTGATTTGAAACATTTGCTTATTTGTTGTTTTAGCAACAAATTAAGATATAGAAATCCTATTAGAGCAATAAAGAATGTTTATTTTTAAAAGTAAAAATGTTTACTTATTAAAATGTATATATGCACTAAACATGCCGTCAAGATTATTATGTTTTTGGGTCAAGAATAACTTTATCAATACAACACGGTATGAAGGTGATCAGCCAGTGGCATTGTGGAGATTTTAAGGCCCAGGCATTTTAGTAGTGGCCTTCTTTAGGTCATCTGTATTGCTGGCTTTGGTGTATTTATCTTTCTCTCCTTTAAACAGTTAAAGCATAAAGTATTGTTGAAAAATAATGACTGCAATGACTTTTGGGTCCTCCAATCACCACAAACCGTGGAACCTTCATGGGTGGGATGCTGAATCTCTGCCTCTGTGTTCAATTCATAAATAAGATGGAAAAAATACTTTTGTTCAGAACTGGGACTGGTTTGGGAGTAGCTAAACTAATTCCAGGCTAGGATATGTCTGTCTGTAGCTCTAGACCAAGGGTCTGCAACCTTTCAAATCCAAAGAGCTATTTTACGCCAAGCTCACACCTTAAAAGCAGATTGGTCAATACAAACAAAAGATTGGTTGGTTGGATTTTATCTATCTACCTATCATGTGTCCAACTAATTATTTGGTTAAAACAACCAATCTAATTGGGATTTTTTTAAAGAAATATATATTGGTAAAAAGGCAAAAAAATACAAAATTTTCACCTTGACCAAAATATTGGTTAATAGTGTAACAACATTGAAAGCCAGGACCAGTGTTTGAACCACTAACCCTATGATTGCAGGGGAAACTCATTCATTAAACACCACTGTCACCGCTAATGAGTTTTGGGACTTACTAATAGTTAATCCTAATGTTACAAACAAGATTAATGCCAAGATTAGCATGTTGTGCGTGTGCACATCATTGTAATTGTTCTCTATGTACATAACTAATATACACTACTCTTCACTACGGCCAAGCATTTAGAGTAGTAAACCATCAGTTACCATTTATGTTGGTTGTTTGGTTAAATTGGTTAATCAAAAACCAATGGCTATGTCATTTTCAGACCAATATATTGCTTAATCTAACCAAAATTAGTTTAACCAACTAGTTGTTTTTCCAACCAATCCATTCTTAGAGTGCAGCTAATTTAATTTCATTAAGATCCGCAAATATTACATGGCCTTCAAATAAAACAGTACTTATTATATTGGTTGTAGGAACTTCTTATGCCATTTTATGAAGCAACAAACAGTTTTTTGTTTAACCCTTTAACACCAAGTGTATCATATTTTTTAAGACCTCTACATATTTAGTTTGATATTTAAAAAACAAAACAAAAAAAATGAACAGTAACCCTGGTTTACGCAATCAGAAACTCACAGTGAATAAACAATGCACTGTACAGAAATTTCTAATGTATCATAAATGACATAACTAAATAATCTAATTTAGATTATTCCAAATTGGTGGAGTTTTTTTTTTCTTGTCAGAATGATGAACAGTTTAAAAATGTGTCAATAATATAATGGTTTGTGTTTTAAAGGGTTAAAATAAGGATAAAGATGATGAATGGATTATTTTTTTACTGGATATTATTTAAAAGCATTAACACACAGTTTCCAAACTAATAACAAGAAATATAGTACTAAAAACATATGTCTCCTTCTTTAAAATCACTATAATGAGAAAATTCAGTTAAAATATTCTTTAGAAAAAAACACTAAAGCTTCAACTAATGCTATTTATTCAAAACCATTAGTCGGTTTCTTGATTATTTCTGGCCAATATTAAGAGCCATTGTAGAGGGTCCATAGAGCTACCTGCTGCCATGGGTTGCAGACCCCTGGTCCACAGAGAATGAATGCGGAACCCATGAATTGTGAATCTCCATATTACGGAAAGTGCTGTAGTTTCTATTGTTTCCACCAAAGCTTGGATGCATTCCTGTTGCTGATGCTTCTTTTTCAACAGTTTGTTTTTCCACTTAACTTTCTGTATTAGTCACACAACACATGCTATTTTTTTTTTTTTTTTTTGAAAATGTAAGATAATCATAACAGCAACAAATACAACTCTAACCTGGGTAATTAATGTAACAAGAGTTGCACTTTCTTTAGTGGGTTATTGAACTAAAGAAAAACAATCTGTCACGTTATAACTTAGTGCACCTTATGTTGTTGACTAAAGATTTTCAGTTCTTGATTTTAAAACACCTGTAATTGACATGAATGGCCCCCATCATGGAGAACAACACAACAATGAGCTACCAAAACTAAAAATCATATATTACAATTAATATTTAAAATTAAGGCCAGGATGGAATTCATTCTTAATTAGTTCATATTTTAATTTAAAAATCTTTAAATAAATGAGTAATTAATCAAAAATGACTACCGTTTTACCTTATGACAGAGGGAAACTTCAGTGTTTGATTTAAATTCTTGCCTGAATGCTTACAGCAGATGCATCAGGGTTGTACCAGCATTTTATCAGACTTCAGGATTTTTTTCCACGTGTTTAAATTGTCAGCTCCTAGATCTATTTATTTCAGGATATAGGCCTATTGTTGACAGATTAAGTCTAAAACAACGCTGCTGCTCGAATAGGTTAGTCTACTAAACTGTGCAAAGTTAGATTTGATTAAACCAGCGGAAATTACACACTGCAACAGATTTTACCTCTGAAAATGACAAGGATAAGGAAAAAGAAGGAAGGAAGCCGATTTCCTCGCATAGCGACAGCAGTCAAAGATAAAAACTTGAGTTTTCCCCAGAGAGCTCCTATTTAGCAACAAGTGGGAGGGGGCAAAACTTCCCACAGTCAGTGCGCACTGCAGGGAGGGGATGCGAAATAAATGTCTTAAAGGGGACACGCAGATATATTTTTACCATTTAAAGTGACTTAAACTGTGAAATATTGTCTTAAACGTGACTTTTAAAATAAAATTACCATTTATAAATAAGAATATATATATATATTTTTTTTGGTAACAGGATGTTCAACTATCAGCACCAAAGTAAAAAGGCTATGGAATACAAAATGTAGCTTACAAAAAAACAACAACAAAACAACCTTTTCTTTGGTTTTTTAATGATAAAAGTTGAATGTGAAAGAATTTGAAGGAGCCTCAATGAAATGATCTGCAATTGTCTTACTTTTTATGTACCTGTCATTTAATTTAATGTATTTCTGTTTCTTATATAACTTTGCTGCCTCTTGGCCAGTACACCCTTGAAAAAGAGGTTTTTAAACTCAATTGGATTTTTCCCCCCTGGATAAAGGTTAAATAAACAAAAAATTATTTAGTTTTAGATATGTGTTTGTGGTTTTGTCTGTGTAAATGAAAAGCAGGTGCGGAAAAACATGGAAGAACCCAAACACTTCTGGTCTAAGATTACACCGTAACCTTGTGTGGCATATATGTCTTAAATATTCATTATAACTGTTTTTAAACTCAGGGAGATGAAATATAATATTTACATATTGCTACTAACATGGGGACAGTTAATCAACAAATATTTAACTAATTGCAGCTTTCAAAACAAATCTGTTGTTATAATATGTACACAGCATGTTACAAAGAGGACGTATGAAAAAGCCATTGAAAACGTACAAAACTTTAACCTTACTTTATATATTAAAAACATGAGAAGTATTTTGTAAAATGGAAATTCAGCCTTTTGTCTCACCGCCTTGTTTCCCACCCTGCCTGAGGAGAATAGGACTTTACAAGCACTTTGCCAAGACTCCATAGACTACTAATGAGTTTTAAAGAGCATAAATCTGCTATTAGAAGAAAACAGGACTCTCTTTCAAATAGAACATCCCCACTCGTCGCTATGAGAAGCTAGAAAGCTTTTGTGGACTTGCTTGATCATGTGATGTTTTCCTGTAGCTCAACCCCCAACAAAGAATGTTTTCATAAGAACACAAACAGAGTATTAGAATATTATATTTGACCAAAAAGTCCACCATATTGCAGATGCAATATTTGTAAATACACATAAACATGGAAACAACATAAGACCAAAGCTGTTAGTTTCTCTTTATTGACACAAAACCACTCCTTGAATAATTTAAAAGGCACCACCATTTATTTTGGACAGGAAAAAAACAGACCAGAGTTCATTTTACAGAGGGCACAACACACAGTAGATCTCAGTATTTTGAACAAAACATTTAAAAAGACTGTAAAACTGCCTTTGTTTGACATTTAGCTTTTGACTTTTAATATTTCTGTAGAAAAGACCTGGTTGTGTGCGGAAAAATCTTGACCAGGAAGAAATTCATCCGAGAACCAGATCTGGATATTTGTTATTCATTTGCTGTTTAGTCTTTTTTATATATGCCTATTCATAAACATGTCTCTTGAATCCATAAATTACCAACAAAATAACAAGAAAGCAAAAAAAAATATATATAAAACAAATAAATAAATAAAAAGTTTAAGTCTTTCTTAGTAGCATTGGCCTAGATAGTTGGACTGGACAATATATACATATATATATTGAGAGCATAAAAAACAACAAGTGGAAAACAGAAAAAGGCTGTAGTATTTTTAAAAGGCAATACAGATTTATTTTGTATCCAGTGTGCAGTTGTATGTGAACCTGAGCGTGAATAGCACTAAACTCATAACTCAGGCATCAGCAGTCTTACCTTACCATAGTCGAATTAAGGTCAAATTTACAACTTATGAAATGGCTGACATGTCTTGGCATGTAAAGCTTTAACTTGAAATAAGGGACAAATCCAAACTCCTGAGAAACATCCCCACAATATTATCCCTTCTGCGCCTAAAATAACACTTAAAACAATATAGTCAGAAGATGCATGCATACATACTACGGACATCTATCTTTTAGGTTTCTTATGCCTGTGTTTCTACTAAAGCTATTATGATTAAGCCATGATAAATAAAATCTTTAAATGATGTCTAAGCTGCTGTAAATGTCAGCATCATAGATACTGTATCATGGGGTAGCATCCATCAACCCTTTCCTATGCTGCATGTTGACTTTAAAACACAATAAATTTACATCTTTTCACAATTAGATCAAAAACAATTTTCTTTGGAGGGCAAAAACTGACAAATTCACCAACTATACCATAAAAGGAATAAAGTTTAATAAATGTACGTTTTATCTGTATAATAAATAATCCCATAACTCTATTGGAAAGTGCACAATTTACTAATTTATTTTCATTAGAAAATTAAACATACATTTAAAAAACTAAATACTTAAATGTAGTTAAAAAATAATTTAAAATGCATGTTTTGCCTGCCATAGATTAATAAAAATTAAGAAAAAAAAAAACATGTTTAAAAAAGAAAATGATAAATTCAAACAAACTAATCTATCTATCTACTCATTTTTTAACATATACATCAAAATGTTAATTTATATAATTAATGGTAAGTGGCTGGGGAGAAGGACAGCTGGGGAAGCGGAGGATGGATGGATGGATGCATAATTAATGGTAGTTAGGTTACTATTAAATAATAAAGATTTTGATGCTGTCCAATTAAAAATCTAGCTCTAAATAGTACTTAATAAATGTTAAGGCTTAGACAAAGCTAACAAGACAGAACGCCTGGTAAAATTTCTGAGCTGTTGTTTATAAAGCTAAAAGGAGCTTTATGTCATTAAGAGTTTAGACTCTAATATAACGTTAACATTCATGTCTTTTATCAAATGCTCATTCCTTTTCTGTTACCAAAGTCTGACCAAAACTCAGTGCACGAGAATCCTGTCTTCTAATGTCTAGCTCAATCAAAAAAGGTTAAGAATCAATAGACAAAATGTTATCATCCCTGATTAAGCAAATCACTAATAAAACATCGGCAATAAAAATATTAAATTTGCACAACAGTATGAATACAAACCCTTTATCTGTCTAATGTCACTGTTGCCTGCCTTCCTGTATGGTATTTAATTGGACAAAAGAGTTTAAAGTTTGCTCTAATAAATATTTGCTCTAATAAGTTTTAATAGCAAACAAATATTTCACCTTTCATTTTACAAAGTTCAAGACCTTACTTATAAGCAAATATGTTATATTACAGAAAATATTTGTTGAAGCAGGACCAGCATGCTCAGAGGAAGCAGCGTAAATGTGTTTTACATTTGCCTCTGTAATGGTCTGCGGTTTGGTTTGCTGCCTTACTCGAAAATGAGCACTCAACTAAATTAGATTACCAGGCTAAAAGATGAGAGAGCATCATGAAACATGCTTGATCAAACATCCAACATCACTTTTTAGGATATCAGCCTTTACATTTCTCACATATTGCCTTAATTATTGGCTATTTAAATGTTTTTTCCTTCAGTCAAATATTGATAATACTATCTTAATTCCCCCCGCCAAAAAACAAAAAAAAAATAACACGTTTATTAGAATCAAATCAACAAATGATCATTAAAAATAGTAAAAACGTCTCTTTACTTACTGATGATCCTACATCCTGAACGAATGACAAAGATAGGTAAAGCAGGTCTAAACCAATTCTAGGATAATAGATATGATATGTAGCCAGTGTTTGTTAACCTGCTGTAGCCATGTTGCTCAGTTTGGTGTTGTAGCTGTCCTGGCTGACTCTAGCCAACCTGACCTTGGTTTCTTCGAAAAAAGACTTGATTTCTTTTGTACACAGGTTGCAGCCAGCACAAACATTCTTCACTGTAATCATATATTTCTCTCTTTTTTTTTTGTATCTTTGCTAAACTAGCCCAATTCCTTATTCTTTTCATATTTAGAAGGCTGTTGGTGTCCCCCTTATTGTACTGTGCCTCCTGCAGCTGCAGGGGGCAATATGCATCAGCAGAGACGTGATACTACATTTCTTTTCTTCTTTTTAAAATGACAGGGCGCTTTGCATCTTCATATCTTTCTATATATTGTGCTCTGTTTAATAGTTTAGTGAAAAGAAACACACTGTGACCACCACAGTTGGACCTGGAACAAAATGCTTAAGTGGTATTTAAAGGTCCCATATAATGCAAAATTAACTTTATTAAAATTTTGTAACAGTCACAGCCAGTGAAGCCAGAGTATGAGGTTCACAAGTGGAAAAAAAATCCTTTAACCTCTATTACTGCCTTTTCCTCACATCTTATCTGTGCTTAACATGGTCTGTTTAAAAAGCATTCCCCTGATGATGTCATAAGGGGAAATAAGCTGTCCAGAGTGGTCTGTAGGAGCACATCGGTCAAGCTACAGCCTTCAACTGATGCATATTCCATGCTCCTAGACTATCTTTACAAATTCTAACTAGTTGTCATAATTGCGGGTTGGGCACACAGCCTTTGGAAGGATGGGGCGGAGAAAGTAAAATCAGCTCATTGGGTGGGGTGGGGGGCTGGATAAGGACATTTTAGTAAAGACCATCTGCCTAATTTGAGGAATTTTCCTGCACACACAGCAAAAACATGCTCTTTTATTTTCAAATGTAGCATAGTGTAGAGCCGGTTCTCCTCCACATCTAGAGGAGTCAGTTGAGGTGGCTCGGACATCTTCTTCGGATGCCCCCTGGACGCCTCCCTCGGGAGGTGTTCCAGGCACGTCCCACCGGGAGGAGGCCCAGGGGACGACCCAGGACACGCTGGAGAGACTATGTCTCTCGGCTGGCCTGGGAGCGCCTAGGGCTTCCCCCAACAGAGCTGGAGGAGGTGTCAGCGGAGAGGGAAGTCTGGGAGTCTCTGCTTAGTCTGCTGCCCCCGCGACCCGGCTCCGGATAAAGCAGGAGACGACGAGTACGAGTACGTAGCATAAAATGGGACCTTTAAGGGCCAAAAGAGTCAGTATTTTACCCAAACCAATATGTTATCA